GTTTTTAGTAATGTTCCAGGACTCTGTGCATAAATGCTGATCCTGTCAGCATAAGTGGTTAAAATTTGAGCTCTTGATCCCTTGAAAACAAGCATGTCTCTGCTTTGATTAAGATTATGTTAGGCTTGGGCCTTTTCATTTCTGTTCTGCTAGTGTAAAGGAACTAAAACTACAACCTAATGACTGCAGTAAATAAATCTGTAGGGGAATCCCAGATGGGACAGTGCTGTCAGACTGCAGGGTCCTCTGCACTGTAACAGGCATGCTACCTCTTGTGATAGCCTTGGAAAAGCAGCTTTTCCTTCCAGATTTGCAGAGACAACAGGAGGTCAGTTTATATAATCGCTGTGTCCCTGCTGTCCTGGCTTCGCCAGCTGGTGAAGAATCTTGTAACCACAGTACAGGCTGAAGAAAATATTGTAACTGGAGTTTGCTCCAGGCTTTACTGACCTCTGGCAGAACAGGTAGGCTCAAGCAGACCCAATATTGGCAAGCTGTGAGATTGTCTTGTAGGACCTCAGTCCAGAGCTGTAATCACCAAAACTGATGTGCACTTCTACCCTTTCTCAAGTCAGTTACTAAGACTTGGAAGCTAAATTCTGCTTTAACCTACATTGGACTTGTGGGTTTCACTCACTAGAAATGATTGGCAAGTCTGCTTCAGATCTCTTCATAAATATTAAAGTGTTTACAGATATTTAGGGTATTTACAAATCTTTAGAGGTAGTTTGTGAGTCATTCTGTAAGATGTAAGGGCATAGCAGCACATCTGTGCTATCGAGAAGAGAAAGTTTGCTAATTACAGATTTGAGTAAAAGGAGAGAAAGAAAATGCAAATAAATGCAGTAGAACTAACCAAGAGATAGAGAACTGCAGGACAGCTTTTTAAAAAAGGAAGCATTATTTTGAATACATTATTTCATTAAGCCTTTATGAAAGGGCAAAGTTAAGGTTCTCATAGAAGAGTACTTGCAGCAGTATAAAATTTCTTTAAAATTTCTAACCTCAAAATGTTCCAGTATGACCAACTGCTCAATATATTTAAATTTTGTGTTCTTTTCCCCATTCTTTTTAATGTATATGTACGTTACTGGCTTTGTTTTGTTTTACAGTTGTACAATTTTGGAGAAACAGTTTCTATAGTGTTCTGGACCGAGTCGTGGAAGCCAGAAAGCTTTTTTGACAAGATCCAGAAGAACAGGCGGAACGGAATGCACACGCTGTGCCTGCTCGGTAAGCAGCAGCTCCTGAGCTGCCCCTTGCCGTCCAGCCACCGTGCTGGAAGGCATGAGATGAAGCATCTGGGATTAGGCAGACCTTCTCAACTAATGTGTAGCTGTGAAAATACACTGAAGCCTTGGCTTTTAGAGTGTGTGCACTCAGGATCAGTTCAGCTACTGTTCATGCTACAGTGGCCAGGAATGTCTGATTCCTCTTCAGGAAATCTATAAAGTGTGCCACCCTAGGAGTCAAACAAGAGCAAGAGGCCCATGTTCACTATAGTGCTCAGAATAACTTTAAGCTAGGTGTAGCTCAGGGTCTAAATGAGATTGCAGTAACTTGAAGCTGCATTTTATTGACTTAGTTTTAAACTCCATTTATTTGATTTCTTGAAGGAGCTAATTTGTACTTTTAACTGCAATTCTATTTTATGGGGCAAAATTTGGTTTCTTAAGTTCTTATCTAACAATGTTTTGGGAAAAGATGTTTATCAGGAGAGAAGCTTGAGTGCTGTCCTCAGGCTTTCCCATGGGTTTGATCTTTATCTTTCCTGCCCAAGACCAAAAATTTCCTTTTGAGTAAGTGTACTTGTCTGGGTAGCTTCTTAAAGAATTGCTTGACTATACACTATAAGACACTTCTATAAATATATATAGAGAGCTATAAGATGCTAACTCACAGCCAAAAAATATTTTTTTGTAAAAAAAAGTTGATATTTTTTCTGATAACAAAGCAATTCAATTGACATGAAAGCAATCAGGTAGGCTATGAGCCATTTTTTGCATATTCTTTCAGAAAATCTTTCAGAGTCACTATGGTTTAGGAGATCTCATCTAAGTGATTTTTTTTACTTAAGCTTCAAAATGTGTGACTTCATATTTTTTTTCAGGATTTGAGTATTTGCTATAATATGGTTGTCTGCCAGCGTATTTGTGGAGTGCGCTGCACACTGATTTCATTTGATTGTTTCTTAGAGACAGTGGCCTAGCGGAGTTGTATAAAGTAGCAGATGTGCAGATTCTTACCTGGCCCCTCCACCTTTCTCTGTCTCCTCCCCCAGAACTCTTTTTTCCCATAACAGAAGGTTGTTCTAAGTTTGCCTGGGACAGGAAGGAAGTGCTAATGAAAGTCAGGTTCCTGCATGGCACTGATGTAATCGCTGCCTGTCAGTCTTACCTTCTGTAACTACAAAGTATTCGTAAGAGAGTAGCCCCATCTTCCTAAGCATCCTAGCATTGAACTATCTATTGATGGTAAATATGCCTGCGTATTTATACTTTTGTAGTTTATTTTTATACTTTACAATATTTTTATGCTCTTAAATTCTTCTAAAATCTGCAAAGCTTACATATGCATAAAATTATAATATTTTCTTAATAAATTAGGCAGGGTAGAATAGGTTAAACTTTGGCTGTAATATATATTAGTTTTCTTGTAACAGCTGAAATATTCCTATAAAGTATATAGAACCTACTAAAGCTTTATTTACATGGAAAAGAATAACCAAAGTTTGTAGGGATTCTGTGTGTTAATATTACTGTTTTATTCTACAGACATTAAAGTGAAGGAGCAGTCTCTGGAGAATCTAATGAAGTAAGTCATCACTTTGGAAATGGAAAGCAGCACACTGCAGGTTTACAAAGGTTCTTTACCTGTGATGTAATACTGAGCTCACCTGCCTTGTCCTCTTGAGCTCCACAGGAGGCAGAGTCTTCACTTTCTTCTAAATAAAACCTTCCTGTTAGAGCAGGACCCGTCCTGAAATAGATTAATAGCTAGAACTGTGTCTGGAATTAATTTTTCCTTACACTGTCTAGAAATAATGTGAAGTGCTGAATACACATCACACTTGAATAGGAGAATTTTATATATGCTGATCATTTAAGTTCATTTAACTGCATCTGAAAAAAAGCTTTCACCACATCTTAATCATCTGCAATCTGTATGTTTTGACAAACAGGCGAATATAAATACTTGCTTACAGACATGCTGTAGCTCTGGTTTAAATTTGCATTCATGAAGCCTGTTGGTAACTTTGAGGTTTCTTTGGTTTGGAGTTCCAAAATAAAATCTGTTGACATCACTCCACAGTTGGCAAAATAAAATAAGAAGCATTTCATTTAGGAGTATATTTCTAGTCTGTAATCATCTGTCTACTGGATAGGCACTGGATAGCAAAGCACTAGTTGCTCCTTGAATTTGGGTGTAATGCATCCCTCAGTAGCTGTGCTAAACCTGTCTGTGGCTTCCAATAGCTCAGTTTACTTCTAAGACCCAAATGATCTGCCAGGTGGAAGCTCTGCTGTTCACAGGTGTGCTGAGAATGCAGTAGACTTCTTCCTTAAAAATGTCACCCTTGTCCTAAAGGTTCAGCCCTGAGACCCTGGCCTTCAAATTCAGTTTCTAGGGCCAATCTGAAATAGACTAAGAAAATTAGAAGCAGGGGCATAAGTTGCATGTTAAACATCTCTAATGATCTTTTGCCGCAGGGGAAGGAAGGTTTATGAGCCAGCACGCTACATGAGCGTGAACCAAGCTGCAGAACAGCTTCTTAGCATCATTAAAAACAGGAGGCTCCAAGGAGATGAACCAGGTACTGTGACTGCAGTGTTTCTATCCTCTGCCACCCCTCTGTGCTCACTTATGGATGAGCCTCAGAACCCTCTTCCTTTCATTTTAGTCAGGACAGTCTTTTGATGCAGTGGAATTAGGCTGCTTGAAATCCTAATCACGGGATGGATTTGGTGGACTTCAAGCATCTTTTAGGTCAGTGAACATAAAGGAATGAGCATAGCATAAAGGAAATCCTGGAGATTTAGTCAAAGTCTGAGTTCTTTAATCCTGTGTTGTTTCTGTCCATCTTAAGCTGTGAGCACTTTGTTCCACTGGAATTGAGAGACAGTGAAGGATCGTGAGTGTGTTAGATCAGCTGGGTTTTTATCTACCCTGTTTTATTTAGACTTGCCACATTCTGCTCTATGTGAATACCAGCATGAATTTAGATTAACTCTTAAGATGCAGGCCTCTAATATTGACCTTGAATTCTTAATGCTGGTCAAGATCAGACAGTGTGAGATGTTTTAAGACTGGGGTAAATTCTGTCTTTGCTTCTTCATAGCAGTTATGAAGATGACTTCTGGTCATGGTTTCATTTTCCCCATCTATTCTTCTTTTAAAAGTTTATTCCTGATACTGTGTTAAGATGAGAAGGAAACAATCCCTGTTTTATTCTTCTTGTAAATGAATCAAAAGTAGCAATTTTCTCTAAATGAATACAATTCCAGAATCAATTTCGTATTCTGCTTTCTTGCCTCTCTAAAACACAGCTTTCTGTTTTTTGAGAGCTGGCTTCTACTCTCTAGGTCTCTCTGGCTTACTGTTCGGAGACTGAGATTGCTGTTAATGTGAAAATACTTTATTTTCTTTCCTTTGAAATGTGGTTATTACTTGATAAATCAAGTTTTTAGTGTCAGATTGAGCATGGTCCCTCAGAAGGTTTTAGGATCACTTCTTGACTCTCTTTCAGAAATTACTGAAAACACCATTTGCGTTGGCCTCGCACGTGTGGGTGCTGCGGATCAGAAAATTGCTTCAGGCACCCTGCAGCAAATGTCCACCGCGGAATTAGGCAGCCCACTTCATTCCCTGATTGTAACGGGCTCCATGCATCCCATGGAATTAGAAATGCTTCAACTTTTTTCTGTCGATCGCTGTTCCAGCTCTGAAAATAATGCATTTGAAAGGACCGTTTAAATAAAAATGGAGCATTTTACATTTTGATTCCCTCTCAGAACTTGCTTATTAAATGCATTTAAATTGTATACTGCTACAAAAGACAACATTGTGGGAATATGGCCACCTTTTATCAACACAATGCAAGATATGCCTTCTGGCACTAGCTTATGGCATCTGAAGGCTTCTCAAAGTCTTTAACCTGCAGGAACTGTCTGCTCCCATCTGCTTCCATCCATGTGGGCCTCAAGCTAGTGAGTAGGGTAAGAAGGTACAAAGATGGAAGGGAAGATGTAGCAGATGTCTGCCCAGCACCACTTCTGCTATAGCGTGTTCATCAGGCCCACTGCATATATTGAGGTAAGTGTATTTTAAGTGAGAATATTCTTTGCAATTCTGAATCAAGAAAAGCAAACTCACGCTTTAGACATCTGGGGAAGCTGCATGGAATTTCTCATTTGAGAAGTTTGCAGCTGGTAATAGAACCTGATGTTGTGTGTGTTTTAGTGCATTTATGAAGCACTGGACTCGAAGTGCAGCAGCAATTCAGAAGACTGGGATTTCTCTTCAGAATCAGCTGGCCAGATGATGGTGACTGCTGTTCAGGCAAGTTGTATTGAGAAAACAAGAGAACAGCATGTTTGCAGATTTAACTGAAATTATTGGAAAGAAACTTGATCCCATATTTTTTCCATTAATATAAGACGAAATATAGGCCGTATTCAAGTAGAAAGATTACATTAAAGTTTTCTAATGTTGCACTTGGGACAAGTCATGGATAAGCTACTAACAATATTACAGAATGAAATAATAGATGGTCTTCAGAATATTGGTAAGCTTATGGGTATTATCAGATTTCTTTACAGATATTTGGACATATACATTTATTAGAACATATATACATCTGATTCAAGTTAACTCACTGCTAAGAATAAATCAGGTAGCTCAAAACAGCTTAAATTGAAAACAAGGCAAGCGGTAAGCTGTATCTGACAGGGAATGATTTTTAGTATTTTCTTCATTCACCTTATTTCTCAGTCTAGCCAAAACATTGCAGCAGTTCATTTAACTCTTGTACAAGAACCTACCCTATGCATGAAAGATTTCAATGCATTTGGCAAGTGAAGTGTCCAACCCCTTTTTACACATTATTTCTGCTAAATTACCACACAAGCAGGAACTTTTGTGGCTCACTGGAACAGCTGAGCGGATTCCCCCAGTATTTGCTCAAAGCAAAACATGAGGGTTTACCTGCCAGAGAACACAAGCACAGCCGGCATCTCCTCACATTATAGCAGACTCTGGCCAACAAGGTCTCAACACAGATGGTCACTGCAACAAAGCTGGAACAAGGGAGAAATCCCCAAGGGAATCCCAGGAGGCTGCAGATAGGGATTTGGGAAAAGTGTAAAGAAGAAATTAAGCAGTGATTATTAGAGATCAGAGTTCAATACCTCCTGTATTAGGGCTCAGATTGAAATTGAAATATATTTATGTATATCCCTCTTTACTGCCTAAGCTACACCTAAAAGGAGTGAGATACCAAGGATCATAGCAAAGGACATTTTGATAGCTGCTTGAGGAAACAAGTCAGGACTTGGTCACTAGGTCACTAGAACCACTGCTCTGAACTGGTACTTACATATTTTGGGTACTTTGAAAACCCTTGTGGATTGGTTAGGCCTTGCATTTGATAATGAATAATTTCCAACTTAATCTGCCTTTTAAAAAGGCATCAAATTTTTGGCAATTTAGTTCTATGCTCAGGATACAAAAATCAAATTAAAAAAACAAGTAGTTTGCCAACTTAGCCTTGAGGGAGTAAGTTGCTCTCTTCAGTCACAGAAGAAAATGGTTTATACAGACCAGTAATTCTATGGTAGGGAGCCTTCAGCTACATAAAAACATAAGAAAAGTGTGTTTAGAAAACTTGGTTCAAAGTCTGGTACTAGTATCAGCACAGTGAGTTTTGGCTGATTATCTGCAGACATTCATCCAGCACTGGATGTTAGCCATTCATACAAATCTGTGCTTTTGTCCCCAAAAGTAGGCTTCTCCATTAACGTGCTAAAGGCAAAGTGTTTTATAAAAAAGCCAAGTATTACATAATTAGCAAACCAGTGTTTGGGATATGGAAGGTTTCACTTTGAATTGCCTGATTTGTAGACTCCTAAAATGAAAGCAGGTAGGTGAAGAAAAAAAATCAGGTGGTCCCCTGCTTATGGACATGCTGGATATGATTATATTTGATTACTGATATCTCTTGCTGTTTGTAGAGTCTGTTGACAAGCAACTTTGGGGGGGAAAAAGTGTATTTGTGTAAACATTTATGTACTGTGTTTTTTCTCTAGAAATCATTTCAGAAGCTTATGTATCCTTATACCGCTACTAGTTCATTATGTAACTTATATTTCACTTGAATTCCTTATTACTGCCTTGCTCTTTGTAAGGAAAATGAAAATGTACAAAATCATTATGGCTACATATGGCTTCTGTTTGTATGCCTTTGTATTTACATATATTTTATTGAGATCTGCTGTGCATTTTTGAAAACTGTTGTTCCAAGGAGAATGAAGTTCCTTAATGCCATTTCAAATTTAGACAGTAATTTTCACAAACCCAGGTTACCCAGGATTTTTTCCATAAATGTCTGTTTTGCTAGAAACAGATAAAGTTGCCATGAAAATTGTTTCAGAAAATTAAAAGATTGACAAGATTGCTACGCTGTTTTAGTAAAGGCAAGAATGTTGCTCCCTCGGGTCTCTGAGGCACCAGTGACCAGTCACAGGCTGCCAGTGCAATTAGTGGCTTTGGAATGGGGTTTCAAAGTGCCTCAAATCTTACGTGATGAAGCAGCTGTAAATACAGCTCAGGAGCAGTCACAAACAACCATGAAAATATGCAAGTGAAACAGTTTTTGCTTTTGTGTCTGGCTTAAGGCATATTTTTCTTATGAACTAAGGTAATAATGGGGAAATCATAAAACAAAATTAATATGGATCAGTCCAGCTCTAAGAAAGTTACTTGGTCAGAAAAAGACAGCTTAGCATATTCTGGAAGTGAACTAAGTGTAGGGCCTCATCCAAGCTCAAGCATTAAACATCTGGAAACAACTAGAGGTTCCCTCCTGGCTGCGTGGTTGTGTTCAATGAGCAAACTCAAATGGTTTAGCCCAATAGTAGGGCTGTACTCTGAAGCTAGTATTAAAAGTTAGTACTTTTAAATATTCAGTATGGTGAACTCTGCTTAAGTTTAAGTTATCATGTTTCATTCAGTACAGCAACTTATAATTTTCAGGAGGATGCCAGAAATCTGTAGCCCAATGCTGAAAGTTAAACAGCATCCTGACTTCCATTACATACTGTGCATTCCCTGGCAAAACTCAGGATAAACCTCAGCACCTGTAAGCTGAATTTTACTGTCTAATACTGACATCACAGCTAGAGTACCTGAGTAGTGAATTAAACAAAAAGTCCCTGGTGTCACAAACATTACATTAAAGGAAGCCAATAATCCCTGCTTCACTGATTTCAGTTTCACGAACAAGTTAAAGTGCAGGCTTGAACTTAATGAAAACTTTGAAAGACCAACACATGAGCTCAGGATTTAAACTGAACAACATCTTTGAAGAGTGACACTATCCCAGTGAACTTAACAATATGCTTTCAAAATCTTCAAGTACATGCACATATGCTGCTTTTTTTTTCCACAGGGAAAGGACAAATGGTGAATACAAGAATTTCTATCAAAGAAATACCATTAAGTGGGAAAGATTAGCCAAATCACCAAAACACCAAAACACCTTTCATTTGAGGCATTAACATACATTTTATCAGAAAATGTAATCTGAGCTAATGGAAATGAACTGGCACCTTCTCTTTATTTTACTTTTTAAATACAAAAGGGCTCTTAAGAAAAACAAGTGACAGATTTCTCACTGAGTGTTTTTCATGCATAACTACTCCCTAAGTTTTGCTGTTAACGCAGGTAAGTTTTTCAGCCGTTCGATCACCAAAACCTGCTCTATCACAGTATTACACAAGGCGATGGTACTAACCCATGGGACAATACAAGGCATTAACATATCCTCTACAAAAAGACTATAATAAAATGGTTTAGAGTGCAAAAGGGGTTACATTTTCCTGTATGTTGTTAGAGAGGAAATGAAGATGTTAGGTGAAAATTCCCTGACATGAACCTGAGGAATGTGGTTTGCAGCTACCACGTGTGGCTGGACCAACAACCAAAACTAAATGCTGTGTGTGAAAGGAGCAGAGTCACAAGCAACCTGCAGGGCGTTCAGGTAAGAGGCTCATGTTGCTGCAGGTCACGACTCTTCATGCACTTCTGGCGAGACAGCAGTACTGTCTGGCAGCCACGTAACCTTAGACTGCAAAGCTAAAAAGCACAGGGATAAAGATGCTTTGCGCGACCCGGGTAGTCGGATCACAAACAGGAAATTCTTTTGTTGCTGTCAGCACTATGGAAAATGAAGGCTACTTGCAATAGACTATGTGGAAAGGAAACCCTTCCAGGCCTTGAGGGCAACTCTGGGTCTTCCTTCAAGTTCTGTAGCCTAAAACATAAAGCGAGATTTCAAAATCATACATTTCCAGCCTCCACCCACACTGCAGAGCCAAGAATGTCAACCTATTTCAAAACATTTAAGTTTTATTAAATAAGAAAATCCATTAGGCAATTTGAAACAAGATGCGAGGTTCCTTGAAGACAGGGATCACATTTGTAAAGTTTAATATTTACTGTTCTATTTTTTATGTGCTCTATTATCACAATTCTGTGGTAGTAATACTGCAGTGATACTGCTAATATAGCATGTTACTTTCCTCATGATGAAATATCTGAGGCCCAAATCCCCTTTTCAGTGGACACGTTCTTAGCAAAGCGTTGTTCTGCTCCTCATAACCCTGCAGATGAAGGCAGTGCCTGCCATTTAACAGTGACAACTCCAAACAAGTCTGACGGCAAATGTGCTAGCTTGATGCAGTTTTGCTGCAGAACCTTCCTTCTTAATCTTAGAGCTGTATTTCAAATTTAGGATAATCTGCTTAAAATTGCATGTTGAAGGATGAACTTAAAAGCAAAGTCAATGCCCCTACTCTGTGCCACGTGTGTTACAGGGTAGTTCTCCCCAAAAGCTCTTTTGTACTACATGAAGCTAAAGTAGCTCTGGGATTTCTGTGAAAACCCAAGAAAAGAACTTCACTAAATGACTGAAGTTAATTGCTTCATTTCTTTGGTCACTAGTATGCAATCTGAATGCTCTGCCCAACCGAGGATCATATTTAGTCTATGATATCTTTCTAGAAATACATAGATTTAATAGTGTTTTCTGACCAACCTTTTGCTTTTTTCTGGGGCCATGGTTTTTGTTTGGTGACTAATTTCACAGAGTTAACTGAAATGCTAAAATTGCTTCAATATTTTGGAATACTTCTACTTGAAAGAAATAAACATTTGGTTTTAAATATCTAAAGCAATTAGACACTAGGATAATTTTTATAGACTCAAGCAGAAGACATGCAAAAAATATCTCAGAGAAAACCTGAGTGACTTTTTTTTAAGCATTCAAACAAAATAATTAAGCATTTAAGAGCAGACTTGTCTATAAAATGTGCACTGTTCACTTGGTTACCTAAATAGACCTTTCTATGAGTTAGTATAAAAAATAATAGAAGAAAGATAATGTCACATATTCACCAGAAATGCCAGAACATGTGGATAGGGTCCAGAGCTCCAAAAGACTCTCCTACAGCTGCTACAGCCAGCACAACTTGCCGTGGATTTAGGATGCCAACTTTTTAAAAGAGCTCACGATGTAGCCCTCCAATAGAGAACCAGGAGCACCAAGCTTCTGCTTGTCAAGACACCTGGACAGATAAATAGATGAAAAACAGCTTCTCCAGCAAGTAAGACAATGATGAAGTTTACAAAGTAGAAAGTATCTGATTTAATGTGTTTGCTTCTCCATTTCAAATCAGTAATATTTGGGCTATTTTTCTCTTCTCCAAAAAGATTAATTTGAAAGCGATAAATTGAAGAGACTTTAACGATATTTCTGTATAAACCCAAAGACAATTTTTAATGGGATGTAGACAGTCACGGTCAAGTAGAGGGATGTGATCATCTTAGCTTACTGTTCTATAGTAAGAAATATTCAAGTTCTGCTCCACTGAACTTAAAAATTGCATTTGTTCTCAGTGAAAACAGAACCTCAGCTGAAGCCCCGCCAGGTTCCCACCACGTAGC